TACATACTTTATGGATAGATCTAGGTAGATTCACATTTAGATAAATATCACATATTTTATTTCATCCAATTTCATGTTAATAGTCCTGTTTAATATACCCATAGTGGTGAAGGGTATCATATAGTCGGCCCCGTCCGACTTTACTACTTTCCTTACTGGTTTTTATCTTGCAGATGTAGCTTCCATATATGTATATTTTCGAACGTTTTCATCCAACATGGGCACCAAAAAAATCAACGTGTGTTCAATTGAGATGAATCGTTCCAGATTTTCATAATTGATACACAACCGACTTTAAGTCTCTTGGATTGAAATGGCATTTTGCAGAATGACATTTGTTGTTTCTCTTATAGGTACAGATCACTCATTTAACTTCATCCAATTTCGTGGTCCGTCAAAAAGACTACGTCTGTTACAATAATAGTCTTATTAGCATCCCTTATCGACTGTATTGAAAAACGCATAACTTGACCAAAAGTGTGAATTGTTTAAAATTTTCTTTTGCTATGTGTCGTCCATAATCCAAAAAGTACATACATATAGTAGCAGCGTATTAAATATAAGCTCTAAATCATTTTGTTGCCTGGACCATATAAGCGTGTTTCACCATAATATGGAGGAAATTCTGAACTCAAATTTGTCAGTTTATATCCTGTAAATTATGTAACTTAGTCATTTCCGTCAGTCTTAGGTTGGAAAATGTGGTATATTGTCCAAATGTGGGCATCGCCCTCATACAATGATACCTCCTAATATTAGGCATAGCCTCATATAAATCTAAATTGGTGTATTTTGAGGATTTTAGGAACATGACGCACCTTGCCAAGGGTAATATTGCATTTTTATACCCTACACAACTATGTTGTCAGGGTATTATAGCTTTGTGCAATATTGATCCTAGACCTTTAAGTATACCGATCGTCATATCTCGACTAGCTGAGTCGATCTAGACATGTGTGTCCGTCCGTCTGTCCATTATAATTTGTAAACACGATACAGGCCACAGTTATGGACCAAGCTTCACGAAATTTTGCATGTAGGATGGGTTCTGGCCAATGAAGACCCCTATTGTTTTTGGTAAAGATCGATTAATATTTAGGGGATGATATGGACCAAATACTAAATTTTTGTCGGTTTTTCTGGTCGCTCCAGAGGCCGCAATTATGGCCAGAACATCGTGAAATTTTAAACGAAGAAGGGGATCAGGCCAAAGAATAAACATGCCTGATTTGATAAAGATCGGTCAATATTTAGCGAGTCAAATGGACCCTGACTTTTGTGTGAAAAATTACAAAATTTGGATTCTATGGCGTATATATTTACTCCTAGAGGACATAGACCCGAGAAGTTGATAGTATATTCAAGAGGAGTGGCTGACCTTTAAATTGATACCAATTATAATGTCGTATGTTCTCGGATGTTGGAGTTAATCTTAAATATTTACAGGTGCTTACGTATCCAGATATGATATAGTAACCCTTACCACACTAGAGGGCGGAAATGTAACGCTGATCGATTTGAAATTTTCCATGGGGTTCCAGTTATGGACAAGGACAGCGCTTGTCATTTTCGGTGATGATCAGATAATAATTTTAGGATGAAGTGGACCGAAAACTTAATTTTTTGCAATTTTCCGAATCGATATATAGGCCACAGTTATAAGCCGATCATCACCATACAACTCACGCTGAAGTCAATCTGGACAAGTAATAAGAAGGACTGTACTGAATATTAGTAATATTCGGAAAATATGTCAGTGTGTCGAAGATGTGCTGTTGACCTCTAATCGGGCAAGATGGTGCAAATGTCACGAAATATTTCCCAGGCTCGGAATAAATTACTTTAGAAAGTTAGAACTCCGTCGTAGTTGTGTAGGGTATCGAATGGTCGGCCCCGTCCGACTATACTGCTCCGCTCACTGGTTTTAAAATTTGTGTTGCATGTACATTGTGATTTACAACATTATTATAGAAAAGACATCTGTATAGGTTCACCTTTAGGTATGCCTATGATGGAGGATATCAAAGATAGGCCAAACCTATCACCGTTTTCACTTGTTTAAATTCTCACATATGCAAGAAATAACCATACAATATATCTTTGTGAAATGTATAAGAAACGTTATTTCAAAAATGTGTAGGTATAAATTAGCTTTATCTAACTTTGTATCCCTTGTGATATTGCATAAGTTGTAAATGTGTACAAAACCGCATTTTTGGTAAGTCTCCGATTATCGACATTTTAATTTATTTGTCACATTCAGAAAAAATTAACTGTAATTTGCCTTTTGCGGCTTTAAGGGGCTAATAGAAAGCCTCGATGATGCTGCATGATTTTCAATAGTTTAAAAGTTTTCACCACACATCCCCATATAATTTTAAATAGTATCCAATTTAAGAAAAAATCATAAATAATCGTATTTTAAGTGCGCATTTTATTTAAACAAACTATATTACTATAAGTTAATTATTAATACTCATTGATTATGCATTCCATGTCCACCATGGTGTCGGCCGTGACGTCGTCGATTCACAGAAAAACTTCTTGGACTTCCAAAATTACCTCTGGGACGACCTACTGGCCCTTGATGTACATTATGAGGACCGCTATACTGTACTGGAGGACGATTAAATCCTATTTCATGATTTTGCAAATCATTATAGTGCGGCCGTTTCCCATGATGCTGAGACACTACGAGGCCGATCGATAATCCCGCAATCATTAACTGTAAAATGAAAATAAATATTTGTTTACATTATTTTAGGTAGAAAATATTTTAAATTGTATTTTACAATTATGTTAAAAATCTTCGCCATTATACTACTATAATGTAATTTGATTAAATGTCAAAATGTAAATGTCGCTTGTTTCGACATATACACACTTTTTATATAATGTGGTCGTGGTACAGGTACCGCAACATACGTAAATTATGTTCTACCTGTATCCGCAAAAATGTGTTTCCGAGAAATTGTTGACGTCATATTACGAACATCTGCTACCACAATGTTTCGGAATATTATTGCAGTTTCAAGCAGTGAACATGAAATACAAATGTAAAAGAACAACAATCGAAACGGCTGCGATATACTAATAACAATTGTATGAATTGCCAAAATTTGGCGTATAATTTAGCCTCTAGAGCGTGTTTAGTCGCTCCAGAAGCTAAGTTACATGCCAACATAAAAAATAGGGTTTCGGTCCATGTCATGTCATAAGTATTATCGGACGTGGTTTGTCGAAAACGATGAGCCCTTATTAGAGTAACCATCGCAGTCACCAAATCTAGTTAACAAATTTGAAGCATTAAAATAAAAATAGGAGCGAAATGTTGATCAATTGCGCAAGGCTTGTGGGTTCCATGTCGCAGAGATACCAAGGGGTGTTAAAAATTAAAGGAGCTTCAACCAAATATTGATATAATATGATTTAATTATCTATGTTTCGGAGTAGTTTATGCAACTAGATCTAGATCTTTCTGCAACCTATGCTAAATTTAATTTCATTCGGGCAGATTTAGAGTCGTCTGCCTACCATGAGACAAATTTATGGAAAACGATTTATAGCAAAATTGTTACACGCTATTTAGTACGCCGCACTGTCAAAAATTCTCAATCAGACACCCGTTCGAATTACATATGGAAGCTATGGCTGCATCTGCACCAATCTCAACAAAACGCAATAACGTCATTCAAGTCTCAATTCGATACGTTGTGAAAAATTTCGTGTTAATAGGACAAACATTAGAATTTTGGTGCACATTTATGTAAAAATATCAATGCGTCAATGTGAAATCAAAAGCAGCATTTTTTTAAGATAAATCCAAAATTTCAAAAAATTTAAAAAATTCCAGATACAAATTAAAAGTGCTAGACATTCGAACCTACCTAAACATTCTCTTAAAACCAGTAAGTAAAGTAGTAAAGTCGGACGCAGACGACTATATGATGCCATTCACCACTTTGGGTATATTCAACAGATGAATCCTAAAAGACGTCGCATTTTACAGTACAGTAAAATTAAATTGGATCCACAAACATGTAATTCTGCAACCGATACTAAATTTTTCATTTGGCCAGATATAGAAGCTATATCTAAAACTGAACCGATTTTCAAAAACTGAACACACATCATTCTAGACCTAATTCATTTCGCTGTGCCAAATTTCGTGCAAACCGAAAGATGTTAAGGGACTTTGGTATAGCATTTACATTAAATCGGACGAAAATATATATGGGAGCTATATCTAAATCTGAACCGATTTTCAGGGAACTTAACACACATTATTATAAACCTAATTCATTAAGTTGTGCCAAATTTGTGCAAATCGAGAGATATATAGGGACTTTAGTGCACCATTTACATTAAATCGGACTAAAATATATACATATAGGAGCTATATCTAAATCTGAACCGATTTTTCCCAATTTCAATAGTGTTCGTCCTTGGGCCAAATAAGTGGCTATGCCAAATTTCATCCAAATCGGATCATAAATGCGACCTGTACTTTGTTCATAGAAATACATGGACGGACGGACGGACATGCGTAAATCGACTCAGAAAGTGATTCAATGCATATTCTCAAAAGGAACCATGTATCTATCTCGTTTCCTTTTGCCTGTTACAAAGATATGCATAAATACATAATACCCTGTGCCACAGTGTGGTGAAGGGTATAAAAAATAAAAATACCAGCTAACCCACTTTTGCCATGCCCGCTAGTATTTACCTACTTTTCAAGCTCTTTTTGGTAGTGGTAGACAAACAATTCAGAACATAAAATTTCCCACTGCTTAATTTCTAAATCCACAGGTACTAATTGTTGGACCTATTAAAATCACATCCACTTTTGTGCAGGTAATTAAGATACTGGGAAATTCCTTTTTCCATTTTAACTAAATGTGCTCAGCAGAAAATGGTATAAATAGTAAAATCATACTTAATACAACCATAGTATTATTTGAATATTGAAACTATTAACATCTTACTGCAGCACCAAAATGTTTAAATACCTTGTAAGTTGGCATAAATCTAATAAATAATTACGAAAATATATTTTTAATATCTATATATTCTTATATATTCCAGCTACTTATCTTGTCGTTCGCCGTTGTTCTGACGATGAGCTATAATCACCATAACAGACAACCATCATATCATGGTGGTCACGGTGGTGGACCACCTGGTGGTCATCATGGTAGCTTTGGTGGTCCAGCCGGTAGTCATCACGGAAATTTGAAAGGTCATCATTCTGGCTCAAGTGATCATCATGGTGGATTTGGTGATCATCGTGGTGGTTTCGGTGATCATCATGCTGGTCATCATGGAGGTTTTAGTGTTCATGAATCACATGGTCGTCACCATAGACGTTATTAGATCGCCGAAAATAAAAAAAATAAATTTAATGATATTTCGTATACGATACAAAGTAAAGTTCATACACTCACATACAAAAACATATTTTGAAATAAATTACACATATTAATTCAAACTTCAACCCATTACCATTTATGCTCTTTTACAAATAAAATAGCGTCCAATTTTAATAGCTTGGCAATAAACTGAAGCCAAATTTTCAAAATTGTGGCATCCAAATTAATTCCGTTGCAACCAAAGTCGGTCAGAGCCAACTATGATACCCTACAACCATTTTGTTATATGTAATAATTAATGTTGCTAATATCACCCTTTAGGCATATGATTTGAAAGCTATAAAACATTGCTCAGAAACTTGACCTATGGCGAATTTCCCTTCCTGGTTCTTAAAACAATCACCTTAACCACCTTATATTCCGAAAGCAGTCTCTCACTCCTACTCCCAAAACCGGACCTGAGCTTCCCCCAGCGTTCGTCCATGATGTTACCCTCCATCATTTTCTCATTCTGTTTGTAACGCTTCGAAATATTAATTTCTAAACCTATAGTGTATGTTCTTGATCAGGGAAAATTCCAAAGCGATTAAGCCATGTCTGTCCTTATGTCTGTTGTAGTCATATAATGTAACAACAATCTTTCGTATTTATTTTTATAACCTCCACCATAGTATGGAGGGCATATTAATTTTGCTTTTCCCTTTGTAACTCACTCGAATAATCATTTCCGACCCTATAAAGTATATATATTCTTGAGCAGCGTAAAATTCTAAGACGATCTAAGCATGTCCGTCTGTTGTAATCACTCTATTGTCTCCTGGCAGGTCGAGTTCGATGATGGGCTATGTAGGTCCATGTTTAGGCATAGCTCCCATATAACGGTTTGGAATCACGATATTTCTTAAAACGATATTTCGGTGGCGGTTCCTTAATGGTCTTTGGAGCATTTTATAGCCACGGAATGATTTATTTGGCATTTCCTTGTTGTCGCCTGAATTCAATGGAGTACGTTCAAGTCTTGGAAGACAAATTATTGCCATTTTGGGAAAGCAGCAACAATGAAGGACTCGTTTTTTAGAAGAACACCGCACCTGTTCATAAAAGTCGCCGTACTATGGTTAAAATCGAAAAATATTAAAATTTCCGACCAGAATTCGATGTGTGAAATCTTGACTCATCGTGTCTATGTAGAAAACCGCCAATACCAAACTGTATTTTACCTCCAAGAAGGGATTGTCGATGAATGGCGGTCAATCGATGAAGACTTGCGAAAATTTTGATCAACAGTGTGATGGATAAAATTTTTGAACTTATTCAAAATTTAAAAAATAAATTTATCTAATTTTGTAGAAGTGCGTCTATAGTTATGCAACACCAGTAATTTTCATTTTATGAATTTTTTTAATTTTATGAAACCATAAAGAATACATTAATTATTTTTGTTGAACAATATGTGTTTTTGATCGTTTTATTGTGAACCATAACTTAATGGGCCCATTTTATTTATCAACTAACATACCAATTGAATTAAAAGTGCGGCTATAGTTATGATACGCAGTGTCAAAAATTTTAAATATAGGTCAATTTTTTCGGATAGCCCCCATATATGGGTATCCTACAATTTTCGGTTTATTGGGGTTCTCGAGTGCTGTTTTCTACCGCCCCTTCTAGGGGTAGTCCCCATATAACCTCCTTTTTATACCCTCCACCATAGTATGGAGGATATATTAATATTGTTTTTCCGTTTGTAACTCATCGAAATAATCATTTCCGACCCTATAAAGTATATATATTCTTGATCAGCGTGACAAATTCCATGACGATCTATCAATGACCGTCTGTCTGTCTGTCTGTTGTAATCACTCTAGCGTCTAAACGAATTGAGATAGATCGCCAAAAATTTTGCATAGAGTCGTCTTTTGTCTGCAGGCAGGTCAAGTTCCAAGATAGGCTTTATCGGTCCACGTTTAGCCATAGTACCATATAAGAGTACCCCCATATGTTCGGTATTTTGGGGTTCTTGAGCGTGTTTTTCAACCGAATTCTCTGAAATTTGGTACATTGGGTTCTTATTGGGTACTTAATGTCTCCACAAAAAATTATAAATATTGGTCCACTTTTTCTGGTAGCCCCCATATAACGGTATCTCCAAATTTTCAGTATTTTGGGGGTTTTGAACGTATTTTTCCGCCGAATTTGCTGCAGTTTTGTATTTTGAGTTCTTAATAGGTACCAAATCTCTCCACAAAAAATTATGAATATAGGTCCCTTTTTTCGGATAGCCCCCATATAAGGGTACCCCCAAATGTCGGTGTTTTGGGGTTCTTGAGTGCGTTTTTCAACCGATTTCGCAGAAATTTGGTACATTTGGTTCCTATTGGGAGCCAAATATCTCCAACAAAAATTATAAATATAGGGCCAATTTTTCTGGTAGCCCCCATATAACGGTACCTCCTAATGTTCAGTATTTTGGGGGTTTGAACGTATTTTTCCGCCGAATTAGCTTTAATTTAGTATTTTGAGTTCTTAATAGGTCCCAAATCTCTCCACAAAAAATTATGAATATAGGTCAATTTTTTCGGATAGCCCCATATAAGGGTACCCCCAAATGTCGGTATTTTGGGGTTCTTGAGTGCGTTTTTCAACCGATTTCGCTGAAAATTGGTATTTTGTAGTCGAATATGGTAACAAATTTCTCTACAAAAAATTTTTAATATGCATCCCCCTTTGGGCAATTTGTTCCGCGTTTTGGGTTTGGTTCTAAGACTCTGTTGTAACTATATCACCTGTGGAGGATATCGAGATGAAAAACTAGAACGTAAGGTTCGATAATAAACTATATATGAACTATAACCCGTATTTAAACCTAGCCCCTGTGTGGGAGGTACCAGAAGGAGTGGACCGATATTCCCCATCTTCGAATTTGAACTAAGTTTGGAAGAAATAATAAGATTGGCAAAGTTTGGATGAAATGTAAATTTTCTGAAACGGATTTGGTCCAAAGAAACATGGGGTCTAGAACCAATATTTCGATGAGGCACATTTTCACGGTGTAAATTGTATACACCCTCATTAGCCATAAGGCTGAGGGTATAATTATCCATTAAAAAATTCTGAAATTTGTATTATAGTTTACATAGAAATGTCGGTATATGTCCACTTTTTGGTATGTTCCCTATATTTTCATTTCTAGTACCTGTCAGTATATCTATGGTGAAGGGTATCCAAAGTTCGGCCCGGCCGAACTTAACGCTTATTCACTTGTTATACCCTCCTCTCGTTTCTTTTTGCCTGTAACATACATATGCACAAAGATATAATACCCTGTACCACAGTGTGGACCGATATAGCTTCGAAATTGAGCTATATCGGTCCTTAATTAGGCATAACCCTACATACTATAAAACGCCAAATATTCGCAAATTCCTATACAATGTTGTCAATATTGGTCCCGCTTTAGGTATGCCTCATATAACGTTGCCTTTTAAATTGCAGTATTTTGAGGATTTTATACACATGTTTCAGCCTACTATGCGTTCATAATATAGGTCCAAATTTTGGGGTTTGGAGTTTGTAGGAAAAACCTCGATTAAAAATTGTTGAAATTAGTATTTGGTGTACATAATTTGTAAAATTTGTAGAATTATCGGTATAGGCCCACTTTTTGGTACGTTCCCTATAATTTCATTGCAAGTATCGGTTCAGATTTAGATATAGCTTCCATATATATTTTCGTCCGATTTTAAGTAAATTGTACATCAAACTCCTCATGTTTGTCAGATTGACAACAAATTTTGCACAACGTAGAGAATTGAGCCTAGAATAACGTAGTTACGGTTTCTAGAAGAACAGACATAGCCCAACGGGTGACCTATTGATATTTGTTTGAAATCGATTTTCATACTTTTGTCCCAAACGAATGACATGTTTATGGATAGATCTAGTCCGATTCACATTTAGATAAATATCACATATATTATTTCATCCAATTTCATATTAATAATGCTGTATAATATACCCATAGTGGTGAAGGGTATCATATAGTCGGCCCCGTCCAACTTTACTACTTTCCTTACTGGTTTTACTTGTTATTTATTTATTTCTTTATTATTTTTTTATACCCTTCACCACACTGTGGTACAGGGTATTATGTCTTTGTGCATATGTTTGTAACAGGCAAAAATAATCGAGATAGACCCATGGTTCCTTTTGAGAAAATGCATAGAATCACTTTCTGAGTCGATTTATGCATGTCCGTCCGTCTGTCTTGCTGTCCATGTTAAATTGTAAACAAAGTACAGTTCGCATTTATGAACCGAATTGGATGAAATTTGGCTTAGGTCACTTATTCGGCCCAAGGACGAACCCTATTGAAATTGGGAAAAATCGGTTCAAATTTAGATATAGCTCCCATATATATTTTCGTCCGTCTGAATTAAGTCTAGAATGATGTGTGCAAAGTTCCGTGAAAATCGGTTCAGATTTAGATATAGCTCCCATATATAGTTTAGTCCGATTTTAGGTAAATGGTGTACCAAAGTTCCTATATATCTTTTGATTTGCACGAAATTTGGCATAGGGTACTGAATTAAGTCTAGAATGATGTGTGCAAAGTTTCGTGAAAATCGGTTCAGATTTAGATATAGCTCCCATATATAGTTAGTCCGATTTTAGGTAAATAGTGTACCAAAGTCCCTTTATATCTTTCGATTTGCACGAAATTTGACATAGCGTAATGAATTAGGCCTAGAATGATGTGTGCAAAGTTTCGTGAAAATCGGTTCAGATTTCGATGTAGCTCCCATATATATGTTTGTCCGATTTAAGGTAAATGGTGCACCAAGGTCCCTGGAAATATTTTCATTTGCACGAATTTTGGCATAGCGTACTGAATGAAATCTAAAATCATGTTGCTAAGCTTCGTGAAAAGGTCCATAGCTCGGCCAATTGACACAACGTACTGAAGTAATATACATAAGTATCTGCAAGTTTCCCGGAAATCGG